ACCTGGAGCCAGTGTTTGGTTTGTCCACTCTGGGCTACTGTAGAAACTGCAGAAGAGGACCCGCTCTCTTTGTAGACAAAAACGTCTCATTAAAAAAAGGTAACAAAAACACAATGAAACTTATTTTCAGGTGATTGCACACTAATGAAAACATACCTATAAATATTATATCCACTATTTTCTCAGACAAACGTAAACTCGCTGCGGAGACATCGCATGTATTATAAATGTATAAATCTACACAACGGAGGGAGAGGATGAAACAAACTAAATATTTACAAGCTCAAACAAACCATTTACATATTAGGAACACGGAGCGAGAGAGAAAGGTCAAACGGGCCACACCTACCGATTACCTGCGGACAGTGCGAGAGGAGGGACCTTAAAGCATAAATCTTCCATTTTCTTCTGGCAATTTCGTTAAAAAGTTGGTTAAAATTTGCTATTTAGGTTCGGATGGAAACCTGATCTGTGCCGGACTGAAATCTAAAACACAGAAACACAGAAAGCACAGCTAAAGTAAAGCACTTCAGTTTTCTGTTCGGTGTCAGAAGGCCTTTGAATTTAACCAACGTTTTATTTTTTGGGGCCAGAGGAGAGCTCAGTCTGTTGTAGTGAACCACTTCATTTACTGCCTCCGGTAACAAGGACTGAGAGACGTAAGCTGTATTATAGTGGCAGAATCAAAGTGCTTTACTGTGCAGAGCATTTTATTCTGGCTCTGTCTCTGTGAACAGACTGATATGAAACAAGAGAGAGCAAAGGTATTTATTTTATTTTATGTTTAGTTTTTATTGTTTCAGTATTAATACAGTATTTAGGATTAAAGAAGTTAAGAATAGTTATAACACAAACACACTCGTGCTTGTGCTGATAAATTTGACTAAAACTAAAACCAAAGACATTTTATATATTTTTAAGTTTTAAAAAAAGGACATTATATCAAAGTCAAGTTTCTATTTTTATTTCATTTAACTAAAAAATGATTTTCCACACCTGGTTTTAGTTTTAGTTAACTATAATAACCTTGGATTACAGTAAAACTGACGGAAAGATGTCACAATAGTAGACAATCTCATCTAACTCCAAAACGATGCGTCATAATAACATCATTACTTTAAATGTCATCGGGGTTTCGTGAGGCTTAATGCAGAAACTCACTCCACCTTCACTGAACATGTAAAAACACGAGATCACCAGGGATCGGTTGCAAGACTTTCCCCTTGGATTACACGAGCGCCACGCTAAAGAGAAAACAAGACGACGAGCTGGACGAACTGTTTCACAGCGGAAACAAACGGCTGTTTCCAGAAATGTGCTCTCAAAGAAGAAGACGCTCCCGGGAGAAGGAAGCAGCTCCGATGATCCTCGACCGAGAGGAAGAAACGTTTACAGCCACACTGTCACCTCGTGTTCAGTGAGTTTCTAGAGATACCAGCGCTGATTTGTGGCTTTTTACTCGCCTTGTTATTGATCCCTGTATGAACACACATTGTGAATGTCTTAAAACGACACTCAGATGTTCCCTGCAGGCTCCATGAAGAGATCCGCCCGTAAAGCAACTTCAGTGAAAGTGACGAAGGACAAAATCCACAAAGGTCTTATCCGCGAATGGAAACGCGCGAGTCCTCGCGCCACACACTCCAAACAACTTCTGAAGCTTCACACTAGTTTTAGAAAACGAATAAAGAGCGACTGTTGATTTTATACCTTCAGCCTTTTCACTGAAACACTGGCGAGCTTTAATATCGGCTCATCCATCAATGGTTGGGAAACATCTCCGTGACACCGGGGAACTCTGACAACATGTAAAGCAGATGTTTCTTACGGGCAGATGTTTTGATTTCACACTTTAGTCTCACACAGACGCACAGACACACAAACACCTGAACCTACGCTGCGATTCCTGATTCTCTACGGGAAATCTGGTCGGTGATCCCAATTTGTTTTCCAGCCAAACCCAAAAGTTACCAGAATCTGTGGGTGTTCGTTTGGGATTCTGAACATCTGATGTGCGTAATGTTTTTACGATTAATAATCCAAACGAAAAGGTTTACCTGCTGTACATATAACGAGTATTTCTCTGGTAAAGTTCTCTTTTTCTCTCCTGTTGATCAAATAAAAGTTAATCTGCTTAAACTCCAGATAAAAACAACCTGTTGTTGAGTTTATATTCACTCACACAACTTCAGCCGGTATACTCGCTGTGCACACAATGACTGAGGTCACTGGATCTCCCCAAACCAGTTAGCTGTCTGGGCCCATTGTTGGCTCATGCAGGCAGCGTTTGGCTCCTCACCCAACCCTCCTCCTCCTCCTCCT